GTTTGACCTCTGTAATTGCAAACAAAGGTTTCTGTACCAAATATTAACACTGATTTTCTCAGGTGTTCAAATACTTATGTTCAGCAGTGCAAGACAAATAAATTCTTTAAAAATCATACAATGTGATTTCCTGAATTTTTTTTTTAATTCTGTCTCTCAGAGTGGGAATGCACCTACAATGTGAATTTCAGACCCCTCCATGATTTCTAAGTGGGAGAACTTGCAAAATCGCAGGGTGTTCAAATACTTCTGATCCTCATTGTAACAGCAGGTTCAAGAAAACCAAAGTTCATCTTTAAAGCAGGCCACTGAAAACCTAAAGGAGGGATGACAAAAATCAGTGCAGTCTTTGATCACCTGAACGATTTCATCTCTTGCTGTAATCACCAAACAACTGCTAATTTGATTTTTAAAATGTTTTACTGATTAGAGAAGTACAACCCAGTATTTCCAGTGTAACTTTGTTGGATTAATCAACACTGGTACTTCACTGCACTACAGTGGAAGGACACTACTATGGTAAATAAATGGATATTTTAGAGGGAAGGGCAAATCAGTTGTACTCGAGTACTTTTTTTAAATACTGGGTCCAAGTTTGAAAGGTATGTTTTCTGTTTCAGTGCAATTGTTATGAACTGCCGCAATTCCAAACAGGAAATTTAAAATGGTTAACATATCTACTAGGAGAAAAATAATCTAAAGTACAGATCCATTTCTCAACCTATTTTAAATCATACAATGAAATGGACAACATGAATATGACATGCACCTACAAATAAAGCAGCCCTACTTTACATTTTATATTTCTCTACACATCACAGTAATGTTAATGAGTACAAGCTTTATATGCACACTAAGAATATGGCAGGTTGTAATACAATGTGTGGGTGCTCCTGTTGTTACTCTTTAATTGCACAGTAAGAAGAATATTTTGTTTCCCGGTACTGAACCTTGCACCTACCAAGTAAGTTTACAAAACCACTGGGCCTGTGGTTACACATTTCCAGTAATGTTGTTGTATTTCCTTAACATCAGCTGAATATATGCCCTCGTTGTCTGTGTGTATCAATGATAGTACCTCAGGAGATGTTTCCTGGTTACAAATCCATGGTTTTGTCGTTATCATAGACGATGTCGCCCTTAATGACAACGTAACGGATGAGCTCCTGATGTCCTCCCAGCTGGTAGATCAGGTGCTCCCACCTGGAACAAAACGACAGAGGAGAGAATTTATATCTCACATATAAACGGACAGAAGTAGAAAACGCACTAGTGCGTCAAACTTGTCAAGATTCAGTTTGATGTTACATTGCAACCATGATAGTTAACCTGATCAGACCTGGCGTCATTTTACAGGTATGATTTGCATCCAAGATTTTGGGAGGAGCAACTCGGGTCTCATTTCATTAAAAAATTAAAAGCAACAGAACATCCTACACATTGTGTACCATACATTGTCTCTGCCAGGAATTCACTGAGAATGTGTTCTTATTCCACCTGCTAAAATAATACACTTCCTGTTTGAAGTGCTCAGATATCCAAGGTGGAGCTTTGTAAAGCATGCAGACATGCAGGATGTCTGTAGGACACCGTCTGAATTTATTTAATAAAAAACAAACGGTCTCAACAACTTTAGACCTTACAAAAGGAACATGTATTTTGCAAATAGTGCAGTTGGTTTTACACACATGGCTCCCTAACATGTCCCTACTGCTCTGCTCCTGATTGATTTTAGAAGATCAGTTTCATCTGGACTGAAGTGTTTTAGAAATACAAGTACCTAGAAAAACTTAAAAATTTAACAGACCTTTTCACCACTGCACTTCACATGGCTCTCCATTCACTGATCATTACATTTCCTCCATAAGTGTAGCCAACTTAAACACTGAATGTACAGTCAGGGAAAAAATTATTTGAACCCCTGCTAATTTTGTAAGTTTGCCCACTAACAAAGAAATGATCAGTCTACAATGTCAATGGTAGGTTTATGTGAACAGTGAAAGACACAACAAAAAAATCCAGAAAAATGCATTACAAGGGACATACAGCAAGTTATACATTAATTTGCATTTTCATGAATGAAATAAGTATTTGATCCCTTTGCAAAATGTGCTTTAGTACTTGGTGGCAAAACCTTTGTTGGCAATCACAGAGGTCAGACGTTTCTTGTAGTTGGCCACAAGGTTTGCACACATCTCAGGGGGGATTTTGACCCACTCCTCTTTGCAGATCCTCTCCAAGTCATTAATGTTTCGTGGCTGATGTTTGGCAACTCGAACCTTCAGCTCCCTCCACAGATTTTCTATGGGATTAAGGTCTGGAGACTGACTAGGCCACTCCATGACCTTAATATGCTTCTTCTTGAGATTTAAATTAACAATGATAACTGACCCCTATAGGAAAACGTTACAACTAGCAGCATCTTCATAAAGCAGTCATTTGTATCCAGATATAGTAATCCTACTGGACACCTCCAGCATCATAAAACACATCTTCCTCTCACATATATACATGTCCCAAAACCTTCATGTTTAAACTTTTATTAATAGATTTGGCATTAATGTTAAAGATCAAATCCACCCTGAGGAACAGCGATACTAACAGCTACTGACAATGTGTGTTATATTTCTGGGCCAATTTTGAAGGTGGCATGACTTATGGTGCATCTGTCTCTGCCATCAGTCTCGTTATTGCCTTCTTCACCAACTCACAGATGAAAATGAAGAAGTCGATGCCTTTTCCTCTGTCACTGTAGAAGCAGAAGTAAATGAGGAAGGCTGAAGGGAAGTGGGTACACCGCAGAAGTAAATCACATCACTTCGGATATGTAGCAGCGAGAGTACCTGAGGTGGATTTTTGCTCTAGTGTATTGGCTTTAGTAAACTTTTTTTTTTTTTTTTTTTGGTGACTATGATCCCAGCTGCCTCGAGATCATTGACAAGTTCCTCCTGAGTAGTTCTGGGCTGATTCCTCACTTATTCTCATTATGATTAAAACTCCACGAGGTGAGATCTTGCATTAACATGTGTTACTTTTACCCATTTACTACAAATCATATATACTTTGCCTCACTGCTAAAATTCTGGAGAGCCTGCTGCTGTGTTTTAGAAATTTAAATGCAGTTTTTTTTTTACCATTTCAGGCAGCAACTTGCTTAAATCCATTTCTGTATCTAGTATGAAAATTAAGCAGCACAACCACGCTTTGTATAATTTCAGTGCTTCAAACATTTGGAAAAAGCCAAATTACTGGTTAACTAAACATCTGTACCCTGTGATGTTTCACAACTAAATATTGTTGCATTTTAAGGTGTCATGGCTCAAAAATAATGCAAGCGCATGAATACCACTAAGTACAATTTAGGCAAAAATAGTTTTTATAAGGTACTCGGTGAAGACTTTTCAAACCAATCTGCATTCCGTCAACTGAGTATTGGACTTTCATAAGAGACAAAAGTAAAAAGTCGAAATGATCTATAAGGTGAAGCCATGAACAGACAGGACAAATGTATTTACCGTGTGGTGTTGAGAACCAGCAGATCTCCGTCTTTGTCGACCTCCAGCGAGCCGTGTGTGTGGGAGCGCCTGAGAGCATAGGCTGCGTTGATGGTGGCTGCGGCCAGAGTCTCAGGCATGGACATCCTCATGTTGACACAGGCCAAGTGCATGACTATTGGCTGAGGAAGGACACGAGAAAGAGAAGGTAACAGAGAGGCAGGAGATAGGCTTTCGCCCTTTCACTTGTCAGGCTAGACTCACCATGGAGCAGCAGTATGCGTTAGGGTTGAAGTCACTGCCAAGAGCAACGATTACTCCGGCTTCCAGCATGTCTCTGGCTCGAGGCTGGGACAGCCTACATACACACACACACACACACACACACATCATTAGACATCTCACTGCCTTCAAGTAAGTGTATGTGAGTATGTGTTACAGTACCGGAGGATGTAAGCTGTAGTTGGTAGAAGGACTGCAGCCGTTTTTGCTTTTGCCATGGCGGCAATCCCTTCATCTGTGACCTCCTCCAGGTGACTGATGGCTAAAGCTCCAAGGTCTGCTCCCAGCTGACACACACATTCAGGATAACAAGATCATTACTCTAATGGCTGAAAATCTTTGCAGTATGTTGTATCACTTTATCAAGCAAAAATGCCAAATATTCACTAATGACAGCACCTCAAATGTGAAAAATGTGCTGCTTTTGTCTGTTTAATAAAATTGCAAATGTGGGGCTTTGGATGACTGGGAAAATAGCCGGTTGAAGACACTTCATTATGCTCCGAAAAAAAGCTAAGGACATGGTTTCTATTTTGTGTTCTTTATAGACTTAAAGAAAATTAGTGGCAGAAATATCATGGAAGTAAAAAATTTCAACCCTAAATTATTACCCAGGTCACTGATGACGGAGTGCATAACAGCGTCAAGAAATATTAACTTGAAGATACCAGGTATTCACACTTTTTACATTGTAAAGACCAAGTGATTTAAAAAATGCTTAAATAACAGATGATGAAAATCATATGTTGTGGGCAAATGGCAAGCAGCACCTGCTAATGTTAAAGCTTAACAGCTCTGTTTTAGGTCAAACATCTTGCAGGTTAATATTTCTCTAATTACATACCAAAACAAAGCTAAAAGGTGAGTGAATATTAGATGTTTGTGCCCCATGTGGACAGAAACAGCCCAGAATAAATGCTGATGCTGCATTGTGTGTGCTGAATATGCACTTTCAAAAATAACAACCATATACAACAATATGGAGGAGGTGGGTGTTTCTCTGCCCCCAAGTGGCCAAATGTGGTTATTACAGCTTTAGGAGAGTGATACCTGCGCAGAGTTCATGGGATGAAGCTCATCTCCATGGAAGTTGATGTTGAGGCCCATGTCTTTGCCAGCCTTCAGGATGGAGCGGGTGGAGGTGAGGTCGAACACTCCCTGCTCACAGAACACGTCGATGTTGTCGACTCTGAGAGTCCCAGCACACATCAGCTGTTTCAGCCGGGGCAGCTGAACCTGCAAGATGTCCTCTGTGGCCTCTGCTACCGTCTTCCCTCTGGACAAAGGACAGAGACTTAGAGTAAAGATTTAATTTCCAGGATGTGACGTGCAATGAGAGAACTGTGAGGGTGTCCTGTACTTGGGCACGGCGTGGGCTCCGCAGTAGGTTGAGGAGATGTTGATGGGCAGGGTGCGCCTGGCCTCCTCGATCACCTCCAGCATCTTCAGCTCAGTGTGCAGTTCCAGCCCATAGCCACTCTTACACTCCACCAGGGTGGTGCCTGCTCGCTGCATTCGAGCCAACCTGCACCTCAGGGAGGCTAGAAGGTCTGAAGATCCAGCAGCCCGAGTGTGCTCCACGGTGAAGTGGATCCCCCCACCGGCCCGGTGCATGTCCATGTAGGTGGCACCTGCCAGCTGTAAGGCCAATGCTGCAATTTATTAATCTAAATACAGCTCTAGATCTGCTGAAGTCAAAACACTGAGGTTGTTTGGTCAGATCTTACCTTCATTGCAAATTCATGCACCCTGTCACCAGCCCAGACTGGATGGCTGTGGGCGTCAACCAAACCTGGAGGGTTTTTTTGATTATGTACACAGTTCAAAATACCACTGGCATATAAAAATGGAAAATTATTTCTTGCTCAGCTGCAGTGCACACACTAAGTTCGCAGTTTATTAGGTACACCTGGCCAAAACTGTCTCACAGGAAATCCTCCCTTCATGAAGGTGATCATGTTCAGCTTTTCTTTGTTTTAGAGTGTGAATTTTGGACATCCATCCATCTGGTGGATGTATGAACATAAATATAAATGCCAATGTTCTGTCGCTGGATGGTTAAATACTAGGTATTTCAAAAATGCTGCACCACATTCATCATATTTTTAAACTAGTAACATATTTAAGAAAACATCTGAAATATGCATTTGCAAACCTAACATAGCTCATTAGAAAATATTTAATGTTCTTCACAACCAAGAATAAAAGAAGAAACCCAAAATGATGTTTTAATTAATGGAGGAAAATTGTTAATAGAGCTTCTCTGCCCCCTAGTGGTTAAAATGGTTAATACAAGTTGTATTGATGATGTTGAGGAGGTGTGTTCTTTTAACTGTATGATCCTTTTGGAAGGTGTAGTCTGTTGTTAAATTACATTGTATTATACTGACAAGTGTTTCTACTATCCTGCCCACCACCATCAGTAAGACAAAGATAAATTACCAACTCTGTGTAATGCAGTGCAACAGCAGCACACAGTCTCCAAAATCATCATACAGTTTAGTTTACAGTTTGGGCACAAACTGAGTTTTATCACCTTCATGAAGGAGGATTTACTGCAGGACTCTTGGATTAGACTAACGTAGTTTTAGAGTGGTGTAACTAATGAACTATGTGTGCAGAAATCGTAGCCGATACTCACCAGGCAGGACACACATTCCTGTCGCATCGATCACTCTCTGAAAAGATGCATCCGAGTACTGAGCCCTGATGATTTCAGCAGGCCCCACGGCTTTAATCAGCCCATCACTAAAGGAAGATGTCAGTTACAAGATGAGCTCACAAAGAGCAAAGCCTACAGAAGATAAACCTTTTTGATTTAAGCCAAAATATGGGATTTTCTTAGGCACCACGCTCAGGTCTCACTTTTCATTTCTGACTAGGCAGATACAACAGAAACAGTACTGCACTGCGCAGTATAAAGCAGAAGTGTCTGCTTTGTAGAGAGCTTGATGGTCAGTCTTTCATTTTAATCCTGTGACCAACTCATTCAGTGTTAGTCTATTAGCTCTAGTGTTTCCTACCAGCTCCTGGAGACAAATTTAAATATTCAAGGTGTGAGATGTGAGTGTGTGTTGAGGTAATTACATGAATACAATAAGATTTATTGCACCAAAGACAGTAAGGAGATACCAATTGAAAATAGATTATTCTGCATATAAATACTTTGGTTTCTGGTTGGATGACAAACTGACTTGTAAATTACATACTGGGAAAGTGACTGCATCTCTTAGGTCTACACTTTCATTTCTGTATAGGAACAGGTTTTGTTTTAATGAATCTCATTAAAGACTTTTTGGTACAAGCCAGTTTTATCTGTACTGGACTATGGTGATGTAATTTACAAGCACATCTCTGCCAAAACCCTGAAACCACTTGACGCTGCCATTAGATTTGTTACTGGAAATCATATCAGAAAATAAGGTGGCCACCTCTGGCACTGAGAACATCACTGTATTATTTATAAAGCCTTACTTAAGTTGCCAGAATATACTGTATTACACACTTCCTGATCTACAAGTCATCAATGATCACTTTTTGATTTTTTTTATTACATGAACTGGTTTTAAATGTATTTAATTTGTATGGTATTACTTTGTTAGTGTATTTTAAGATAGTTTCATATCAGGGCACCATTGAATAGGAGTGCTTGCTCTCAAATTGCTTGGTTGTGGCCAAGTTGCCTCAACTTCTCAGTAAGTTTGTTTTCAAGTGTGTAAACGAGCCACCACAGCCTCTAGGGGACGCTGGCGCGCATTGTTTTAAATGAGTCCTGCATGTAAGTGAAGGAAACTGGGAGACAGTATTGAGCGTAGCACTCTTACACCATGGCTCACACAAAAACTAAAGGTGCAGTTATTTGGCCTGTTAAACCCAACCTCAGCATATTACCAGAGTAACCCCACTGTATCACTTTTATAGCTTGTCACATGCATAAGCAAAGATGTCTATGTCAGTGTTTCAGGCAAATATGACTATCGACATTTCCCATAACGTGTGGGTTACAAAGCTTACCTCCCAATTACTACGCTCCCATTTTCAATCACACACAGATTTTGCATCCCATGCTTGGTCAGGTACTTCTCTCCATTGTTGCAGATCAGAACCACCTGGTTGGCATTTTTCACCAGCAGTTTGTAACTGCCCGACATTCTGAGTCATCCAAAGCAAAGAGTCTTTCTGCAGTGACAGGGCTTTAGGAATAAACAAATATTTGTCCAGGAGAGCAGAGTTTAAAGTGCACAGAGAGGGGGGCGGTGCTCTTTCCACACAGAGACAACCAGTTAACTAGTGAGTCAACGTCCTCACTGTCCAGTGTAATAAGAGAAAAATTGGAAAGAACTCCACAAACCTCAGGTTTACGAAAGGTTAAGGACATCACATGGAAAGAACCCCACAAACCTCAGGTTTACGAAAGGTTATAGTTACACTTTATTGTGTCTGTATAACAACGTCACAACATCACATAGACCTGAAAATAAAAAAAAAACAAACAAAAATAACCCAGACACCCAGAGGTTATTTGTTTCACATGGTGAAAACACAAACATACATTAACTCAACTGTGAGGCACAATCACACCCAGACAACCATCGTCTTCACGAACATCACTCCCTCATCTCTCCATCTTCTTCTTCTTCTTCTACACCTCTGATGTACAGAACATTATTGCACCTGTGGGCATCGAACACAGCTGTTAACACAGCTCATCTGATTCCACCACCAATTTCATTGAAAAATGATATGTTAATTATTAACAGAAGGTTAGTTAAGGCAGTTAAGACTCTTAAAGGTTAACCACACACCACATTCTGTTCTCCCAGCATATTTAAAAAAAAAAAAAAATGGAACAGAGAAGTCAGGGAGCAACAACTGTGGGCGTGGCGCTGCCGCTATTAATATGTGATGTGGAGGGTTAGGGGACACACAGGAGACCAACTACTGCTTAGAAGAAGAAGAAGTCAGCCCTTCCTTTTCTCTGCTGGAGTAACAGGGCATCAGGTGGAGCTCTGACAATCGCTACAAACATATTTATAACCCCTTGAATCGCTGTGTGGATACGTGTGTTGTAGCTGGGCTAGCGATGCGACTCTCTAATCTGGGGGAGTTTCAGTAACATAGCACCGCTGTTTCTCACTATTAAAGTTACTGCTTGTTAGGCCTAAATATTTTTTTAAGCTCTGAAACCAGCAGACTTCTCGGCATGTCCATGTGCTGTGTTTACTGCCTCTGCTGAGAAATAAATCTCACTCATATACAACAACTTTAGGCTCTTATCAGGCTTGCTAAGGCTAACATGTTAATGTGGTTAGTTGGGGGGTGGTGGTGGTGGAGGCTGGGGAAAAATAGACCTCACAGTCTTGTCTTTGTCATCTCGGTCAGGGAAGGGCCAGAGGATTCAGCAGAACTGAACTTTCAAATACACACTGACAGAAATTAGCTAAATTTGACCCCCCAAAAATGTTTTTACACACAGTATTAATTTTATTAAGAAAAAAAAAGACATGTATTGACAGCACAGGTCAACAGAATTGTGATTACAGTACAGCTGAAAATACATAATTTAGTGTGCAGTTACCCTTTAAGGCTTTAGGGCATTAAACAACTTTCCCTGTATTGTTTAGCTTTTTTAAGGAAAAGCTTTCCTGGGAAGATCTATTAAAAAAAAAAAGTATTTTGGATCCCTTTGCTGAATAACAGTAAATGTAACACTTAAGAAAGAAGCCCCTATTGAACTAGTTAAGGAACCACAATGAAAAGATGTTTCAGGTTTACAACATACCTGATAAGCACCTCACCGAGGTGACCTGCCAACGCTCCATCCACATACTCTTCTGTGTTTGCCAGCTGTTAGGAAATCAGGAAATCGGGCATAATACAAAGATTAAAATGCCACCTACAAAGGAGTATTTACACTGTTAAATCCCATTTGGCAACAGAGATGTGCCCAAAATATTAAGTGGAATACTTGTTTCCACTGGCCTAAATGTTACAGCTTGGGATAAAATAAATTACGGAAGAGGACGCAGCTTTCCTGCAGAACAATAAATGCTGGCAACAGCCAGATTAATGTAAAGTCATAAAATAAAATTAAAAAAAAACGGTTTGTGGTACTCATGACACACTCGTAATAGTATATGATATAGGATGTTTTAAGAATTGTAATGGACAAATTATGAAAGCACAACCACAAACACTTTTTTCACTCAAACAATGCATCTGTGATCCACATGCCAGTTCACACTTATTTAAGTTTACTAGTTTGCTTGTTAAAGAAAAATACACATTAATCCAGGAGCACAAACTAAGGTCTAAATGTTATGCAAGTATAAAAGCGACAAATGCTAAATTCCTTCAACATTTTTTGATACGAGTCTTGCAGCTCACACAAGGCTATAACTTTATCAGATACCCTGGCTGATCCAGCTTGTGATTGTGCAAGGTTCACATAAGCACATTTTTTGATAAAAGTCTGCAAGATTGAACAAGTCAAAATGTTACACAAATGTGAAATTAACAGAAGAGCACATTGTTGGGTTGATAACTTTTGTTTTTTTAAACCACTGGGTCAACAATGATGCAATGCCCCAAGAACTATTAAAATATCATCGCTCTGCAAGCAATGCTGCCACACTAAGGCAGGTCCTTACCTGCATATTCATGTACCCATCCACAGACACCAGGTAGCCCTTGTACTCCATACCCCACTTCAGTTTCACCATCACTGGCTTTCCTGTCAGGCCATTCAAGAAAGGCTTTGGGTTCAGAGGTAAACTCTGTGCAGAAGAAAGATGAGGCAGGTTAGGATGATGCAAAGAATGTTGTTCTCTAAATAGCAAATTCATGCTAGTTTCAGTTAGAAATCCGCCGAATACTGTGGCTAAAACAAATACGTCAAAACAAAACCCGTATCTACTTACTTTTGATAAGTGACCGTATAATAGTAAGTTTGACAAAATATTTTGTACGTTAGTTCTTATTTTAAGTGTTATGAACTTAACATGTCTAAAGAGAAGGTTTTGGTGTGTGGCTTTAAATAAGTTAATGTTAAATAAACCTATGTTAAGTAAATACGTATACGGTTTGGCGATCTGACTTGCACTTAAATGAATAGCAGCTGCATATGTAGCCTGAGCCTACATCGGTAAAGTCTTTAAGCGAAATTATACACACATTTTCCACTATTTTGTTCATAGTTTGTGTACAGGTCTCAGACTGCAAGTCAAAGACGCTGCTCACTTCAGGCAAAGCAAAAAAAAAAAAAAAAACGACAGTCTAAATTGTTAGAAATATAAACCCAGGGGCTAATGTGGCGTAAACTCTGCTACGTCTAACACTTCGCTCGTAAATATAAGCGAGCTAAATTTGATGATTTTAGAATGGAGTTTGGTGTGAGTTTCTCTGCAAAGAAACATAACCAAACTCAAGTAAGAGATGACATAATTTCTCTTTAACTGAAAGAATGTAATAAATGCGCATTGTTAACAGCCTACGTAAATAAGTGTTATGTATTGTTTCATTCATTTGGTCGAAGTTATGAATGAGACGCTAACGTGGCTAAAGCTAACTAGCCAGCTCAACAGACTACTTTCAACTAGCGTTTTAATAAAATAAAAAAAACCACAAATGATCTAATAGAGCTAAACGCAAACATGTGTGAGTCTTACTCACCATTTTTGTTCAATGTAAATAAGTAATGCGTGCACCAAGTTGTAAGCTTTATCTTTTCGTCACAATAACGTTCGGAGCACACGCGTTGCCGCCAAGCCGGAAGTACAAAACGCTGACCTCTGAGGACTCGTCATGTTTTTACACAGTGCCCCCTAGTCGTCGAAGGTGCACACTGTAACGTAAACATCTGAAGACCCCCGGGCTGAAAGGCGTTTTGTTTCTTGTTAAGTTTTTTTTTTTATTTGACCTTCACTGTGAGATACAGGTTTAGATAAGATAA